GTTTCATTTTTTTGCAGATGGATATCCAGTTATGCCAGCACCATTTGTTAAAGAGACTGTCTTTTCCCCAATTAATGGACTTTGGGCCTTTGTCAAATTTCAGCTGCTCATAGGTGGATCCAAAGGCTTATTTCTTAGACCCTGACACACTTTCAACGAGCCTGGGTGATACAAGCGGTTTACAATCAGCAGCTAACCTGTGGAAGAAAGGCCTGGAAAAATGCTTCCATAAAGATTATAGTCAAGAAAACCCTATGGAGCAGTTCTACTCTGTAATACATGGGGTTGGTATGAGTTGGAATTAACAGGACGGCAGCAGGTTTGGTTTGGTTTTGGTTTGACATACTTTCAATTTGATGTATGTTGTGATCTTGGTCTTATCTAATACTCTGTGCCTCAGTCTTCTCATCTGTAAAATGGGGATGAAAATAATACCCACGTCATATATGTATGTAAAGCACTAAGCATAGTGCAAGGCATATAATAAGTTCTCAATGAATATTAGCTATTATCATTATCTGAACTTTTAAAAAATCCACCTTGACATTCTTAACCATTTTACTTGGTTATTACCCAATTAAATGCTGCTGAACAAACACCACTTCTCTTTGCAAACATAGCCATTTGCTGTAACAACCTTTCACACAGCCAGCCATACCAAAGACTAAAACTAAACCAGTGGCCATTGAGTCGGATCCAACTCATAGCGACCCTATAGCAGAGAGTAGAACTACTCCACCGGTTTCCAAGGCTGTAAATCTTAACGGAAGCAGACTGCCACAATTTTCACCTCTTCCACATCCTTCACCTGCGGAGCGGCTGATGGGTTCAAACCACCGACATTTACTGATGAGCACCTCAGTGTTTTAACCATTGCGCCACCAGGGCTGCTTTCATACAGCCATAGCTTCGTCCTATCTCCACTTTTACCAAAGGTAATTTTTGTATGTAACTGTTACCGCCTCCAGCTGAACTCTCCCTAATCTTTGAGAAAACAGATATTCGGCCTTCCTAGGAAGTGATTCATCCGTTCGTTTGTTCATTCATTAAGCAAAACTTTACTGAGATCCAAATTCTGAACTAGACGCTGAGGATGTATTGGGGAGCAAAGTGCAAAACAATTCAGGGTGCTCAGTCTGGACGGTGTGTACCCTCACGGTTTCACAGGACCCAGGTCAGAAAGGGGAACAAACAAAAGCCAAGAACGCCGGACCGTCTCACCTTGCATGTCAGAAAACTTTCTGACAGGGATTCCATGTCACTCAAATCAGTGTGCTTTGATGCTGACAGAGGGTTTTGGTAAAGTGAAATGGAGAAGGGATGAGACTGCTTGCGATTCAGGCAGCAGATACACAAGGTTAAATAAAGCAAGCAATAAGCAAAATCTCTAAAAGAAGCGCACACTAACAGCTCCGAAAACTCTCCATCTTCTTTGGAGCTGTAGAAGTGAGCCTGGAGAGAGGGAGATTAACGTGGCCACACACATCTCGGGACTGCCAGGCCGGGGGGCGAGGGGACGCCGCCCTTCAGGCTCCCACCGGCCGGCCTCCCTTCACAGGACCGAGTCTTCCGCGGCGCCGGGGCAGCAGCTCGGGTCTCTCGCGGGGCTCGGACTTCGCCCAGAGAGACGCGAGGCGGGCAGGGCCGGCGCCCCGCCCCGGGCGAGGCGGGGCAGGTGGGGGCATATTCGAGGCGCGGAGCCACCGCCCCGCCAGGACTCCTGGAAGCGGGCGAGACAGCGAGCGAGGCAGCGAGCGGACTCCGGGGCGGGGTGAGCGGCGGCGGCGCGGGGAGTGGGGGCGCGGGCTTGTCGCCCGGCTCGGGCCGGGCAGGGGGGCGGCCCCTCTCTGGAGGGCTCGGCCCGAGCTTGGGAGACCGCGGCGGCCCGGGCCCGGACAGCCGGACACACCGTGCTCTGCCAGCCCGTGCGGCCCGGTGGGCTCCGCCTTTGGGGAGGGGTCCATGGCCTTTGATTTTCGAGGGTCTGAGAGTCGGGAAAAGTTAGCAACGGCTTACAGAGATTCACTAAGCAACGGGCGGGTGTGTCTGTGGATATCCGGCGGGCGGCACAGAGCACCCTCTGTGGCGCCTCGGAGGACTTAGCTACCCCGCCGTCCCTCCCGCCGCCTCTGCCAGCTGTGTTTCATGGACATGAAGTAAATCCGAGTGCATGATAAAGACACTGCCGAACCGGCTAGGTCCAATTGCAGGGGGTTATCAAACCAAGCAACCCTCGGTAGCTTGGTGTTAGGAACCAGGTCCCCTTTCCCCAGTACCCCGAGGGGTAGTGCCCAGTGACTCTATAGGGCGACTGTTGGGACCCATGACTTGGCTGTCCGGACTACTTCTGTGTGTCTGCTGAAGTTTCATTTGCCCATCTTGCTGTGGCGTGAAATGAGTTAACAGTCCCAGCAGCGTGGAGGCAGGGGCTGCAACTCGCTCTCAGAATGATGACCCCACAGAAAATGATGCTTCCCCAAGGCCTGAGAGGGCATGTGCCCCGTTTGGCAAAGCCCTCGAATCCTAAACTTTTGCAAATCAAGCTCCTACCCAGATCAGGTAATTTAGACAGTAAGAACTCAGATCTGTGCTGAGGATATGTGGGGAGTGGCAGAATGTTGGTCTGAGTGTGGAGAGCTCTAGCTAGGGGTTTTTAAAAACATATTTGAGGGTTTATTCTGAATTATCAGTTGCTCACACAAAAACACTAAAATGCTTCCACTCTGAGCAGGAGTTAAAGCCGGGGGTCAGGCACACATAGGTTGAGGTTGTGTCTTAAGCTTCAGCCCAGCCCTTTAAAGTTAAAGATTTCTATTCCAGATACTGTGGAATATTTGTAAAGTGACTCTTGCGAGCTGGGTTGCTGAAGAATGAGGACAGCTGGACCTCAGTGATCTGGTCTGCTTCTGGGAAAGGAATGGAAGGCAGACTCAGTTAATTCTGAAGAAAATGATAGCAATAAAAATTAACCACAAGAGCATCAGACAAAATCTTCAACTTCCAGAACTGATTTGTTTGCCTCAATATTATAAACTTTCTCTCTCTGTATTAGGAAATTGTTCCTATGAAAGTTATAGCTTACTAAGAATAGATTTTCCCACAAAAAATGGTGTTCTTTTCAGACATTGATTTTGATTCCTTAGAATAGGGTCTTTAATTTTTTTGATGGTTGGGCTTCATTCTTGTTCTTTAGGGGGTTGGAGCTGCTTCCTAAATTCATAACATTTAGAGTTTACATTTACATTGAGCATTTATTCCATACTCTGGAGGGAAGTTTGATGGTGGTCCTTGAACGTTTACAGCTCAGAAGTGTTGGAAGGTTGCCTCGCTAAGTTACATAAGTAGCAGAAGAGGGAAGTTTGCCTGGATTGACCCCCAAAGCTAGTGGTTTTCAAGCAGAATAGACGAATCTCTCTCTGTTGAGGAGTAGGTTTCTGTGCCACACATACACATAGGTGCTTCATAAAAACTTTTGATCTGTTGCTAGCAAGGTCAAGAGACTCATGTTGGTCTTATCTATAATTTAGGTTTGCTTGAAAACCGAAACCAAACCTGTTGCTGTCATGTCGATTCCGACTCATAGCGACCCTATAAGACAGAGTAGTAGAACTGCCCCATAGGGTTTCCAAGGAGCAGCTGGTGGATTTGAACTGCTGACCTTTTGGTTAGTAGCCTGAGCTCTTAACCTAGAACCCTCATTAGCCAGACTTTAAATCGTAACTGCTGCAGAGAACTGTATTCATGTAGTATAACTTGACAGTCTTGTGTTGATCTTAGTATCACTAGGCATGTAAACACATACCTGAGCCTCATGGTGACTGATCTAAAACATAGCCTTTCCTTCCTGAGATGGCTTAGGACACAACTTCTGCGGAGGGCAGCTGGGTAGCTCTTTGTGTCTGTTGCCTAAACGGGTTCTTCCTAGTAAACTGGTTCTTCCTACTAAACTGGAACTGGGTAACTGATGAGCCTGCCAGAACAGTGCTTGCTGTATACTTCCAGTTTGCTGTTGACTATCACTGTTTTGTCTTGACTGCTGTTCAGCTTTTCCATAGGGGAAAAAATCAGTAACTGAGAGCACAAAGTAACTTTACCCCCCTTGATGCTGAGGAACTATGATGAGGAAGACATCCAAGAAGAGGACTGGTCTCCTTTATCCCAAGTCAGCATCATTGAATTCAGCTTTGGAAAACAGACCTTCCTCAAGCCCTGCTCTGCGTTTCTGCAAGAGCGGGAAGTAGACTGCCTCTCCTGGGTTCTTTAGGGAGTAGAGTGGTGCAGCGCCCTGGGTTTCTGAGGAAATATGTTCATGATCTTCTTCTGTTACAGCTTGTATAAAGATCTGCTCTGAAACTGAGCAGAAGTTTCCCAAGTGTTCCTGGAAAGCCAGACATAACTGGATTAATTGCTAGGTGGGCCTAGAATAGCACAGTGCAGTGGATAGCTACTAGTTATTCAAGGGAAAAGCTACCAATTAACAGCCGATTAACATGGTCTACCTTCTGACTCATGTTTAAATTCCTCATTCTAAAGCTACACTGAACTATAAGTATAGTTTTCCCAAATGTGGAGACACAGGTAGTATCTCTGCCTCTCTCTCTTTTGCTTTTCTTTCATTCAGTGTTTCTTTTCTGATTCTGGGAATGCCAGGATGGAATTCACATATCTGTGGAGTGGGAATTTTTTTTTTTTTTTACATTTGATTGTCTCTCTTTCTATAAACCACTCATCTGGTTAAAAAAAGAAAAGAAAAATTTCCTAGGCAAGTAAGGATGATATTTAGTCAAATAGATATCTACTTAAAAAAAAAAAAAGTTCTGAGTTTACCCACCTTGACTTCAAAAGAGCATTGGTATAACCCTTTTGAAAAAGGATCTGATGTTTGGAGGTTGACATAATTAAAACAGTGTGTACTCCATTTTTGGAAAAGTACACTTTATTGGTTAAAATGTGGTTATAATTAGCAAAGTGACTGTGCGAAATGGCATCCTGGTATTCGACATTACTGAGTCAGCTGGTAGCTGGTTAGTTTTCTGACAAAAGCATAATCTTGTTTTTTAATTTGTTTACCGTTTCAGCATGTTATGTAGTTCTGGTTGAATAAGCCAGAGAATTAATTTCTAAATGAAATTATTAACACTTTCAAAAGACTATACTTTGAAATTTCAAAGTGTGAGGTGTTATATTTGTGTAGAAGGAGCCAGAACCAGGAGTCAGGAGACTTGGGCCCTGGTCCTTGGCCTGCCAGTGACAGTATGACTTTGGGCCAACAGTAAGCTCTGAGCCTCAATTTCCTCAATTCTAAACTGGGAATACTGTACTAATTTTCCCATCAGTCTCATAAGATTGTTATCAGAATAGGTAAAATATGTGAAAGTGCTTTGTAAACGGAAAGGCACTACACAAAGGCAGGGTGTTATTATTCTAATGGGCTTGTCTGATGTGTCACAACACAATCCAAACTGTCATCCAAGGCGTATGTGAAACACAGTGGAAATAAAGTGAAATCTGCTTTGTTGCTCAAATTGTATTTGGCTGAGTTGAAAAACAAACTGATGTTTGAGCAAAGGCTTTGAAAAAAATAAAAGTTAAATTTTAGAAATGCCCTCTTTATGTGAGTTTCTGATTGTAATTGGCCCTTAAACACATATTAGTTTGATTGGACTTATGGTCATAAGCCCATTGTACTTATTGGCCTTTATGAGGCCAATGACACAAATTCAGCTGGTTTTAACAATTGAAACTACATTTTTGTTATTTACTCAACTGTGTGTACATTTATATAAAGATACACATGCTAAATCAACCTAGACCACTGGTTCTCAACCCAGCACAGTTTTGTCCGACAGGGACATTTGGCACTATGAGTTGTCACAACTGGTTGGGGGGGTGCTACTGGCATCTTGTATGTTGAAGCCGGGAATGCTGCTCAACATCCTACAATGCATAGAACAGCCCCGAACAACAAATTGTCCAGCCCGAAATGCCGATGATGCCGAGGTTGAGAATAAGCCCTCAGGCAATGAAGACATTTAAATTAAGTAAAAACACTTATAAAATTATTGCTGGGTCTTTGCTATGTTACCCAAGGGTAGAAGAAGACTTTGTGCCACCCAAGGAACTAAGTTTTCTGTGCATCTTGAAGTTCAAGATTGTTTCCTACTAGCACCCAGAATGAAAAAGGCTTTATTTTCTTTACCTAAGAAATTCCCTTTCTTTTCCTTTTCTGTATCAACTCTTTCCTCGAGTTCCTCCTGTAGTAGCAACACAGCCTTCTAGGCTGTGGCAGCCTTTTGGGAGAAGGAGGCACAAGCATAGAAGCCCCCAACTTATGCTTTAATAGTTCAAGTACTGTAAGAAATACTGTGAATGGAATTTGTAGTAGGCTCTGGGAGAGTCAGGCTCTGTGATTTCCTTGTAAAACTGCCAGCATTTTCCCACTCTGTAAGATGGACGGAGCCCCAGTGGTACAGTGATTAAGTGCTCAGCTGATAATCGAAATGTCAGTGGTTCAAATCCACCAGCTACTCCTCAGGAGAAAGATGTGGCAGTCTACTCCCATGAAGATTACAGCCTTGGAAACCATATGGGGCAGTTCTACTGTGTCCGACAGGGTCACTATGACTTGGAATTGACTCAACGGTAACAGATTTGATATGATAGACATGATAATAACCTACCTGCTTCAAAATATGTTTGAGAATGCCCAGGTTAATGATATGTGCAAAAAAAATTTTTAGTCAAAGGTAATATTTAACTGTGATAAAAATAGCAGAGGGTAGTGTAATATTTCTGGTGTGTGTCCTAGCAAGAGCTCTGCCTGTTTGAGTTTTTATAGAAAAATTTAATATTTTATATTTCTTGGATGTATCAAGTAGACACCATTCATTGGATCCCTTGGGGGCAATGTTATTTCTTAAAACAATTGAGTAAATATCAGAAGTGAGCAAATCAAGGAAAAAGGAATTCTGATTATTTCAAGTTATAGGTACTTTTGGCCATAGCAAAGGCAATCCTGGGTTTAGAAAGAACTCACCCCAGCCTCAGGAGATCAAAGTGCCTCCCTCCCCTCACTGCCAAAGCCTGAAGTAGGTGTAAAACATCTTGCATTTGGAGACTTGGCAGATGGGAAGAAAACGGGAGAAAGCAGGAATGATGTCTCAGGGCTACCCCTGGAGAGGCATCTTTGGGCAAGGCAAACCCACCTTGGTAGTGTTTTCTGTCACATTGCCCGACTTTTTCACCTTACTTTGTTAAATCCTGCCAGGGATTTCATTTGGAATACCAGGCATATTTTTTAAAAAGCATCAAGCATGTTGGCCTGCTTTTCTTCTTCATTGCTCCACCTCCAAATCTTATCTCTCCTTCAACAGGTGTAGCTTAAATGACATTTCCGTCAAGGTGTCCCCTTCCCCCTTAGAAGGAACCTTTTCAGTTTTGAATTCCCATGACACACTGCCTGACTCACAGCATCCATTGCTTTTCATTTTGCATTTTGATGTGTCTCATCTCCCCTGCTGGACTGCAAACCCTTTGACCATACAGATCTTGGCCTATTCGTGTTCACACCCAGGCTGGAGCCCACACAGTGCCTGGCCCAGAGCCGGCATAAATGTGTGCAAATGAAGGAATAAATCATCGGGCGGCAACTATGTCTGGTGGTCCTTCTTTCATATCTTAGTAGGAATCACCAACGCTGCTTTCATCCTAAAACCCAGAAGAGGGTATAGGGCCGTAGTGGGAATGAAAGGGGAGGTAGGCGATACAAACACACTGAACACTTTGTAAGGGTGGTGGAGGAAGAGAGCAAGAAGGAAGAAGGTGAAGGAGGACCAAAGATAAACCATGACTACATTTTTTTGCCTTGGAAAGGGAGAAAACATTTTCTTTGTTCTTCTCCCTCCTGCATCATATGGTCTCTTACTCCCAGAATTTAGAACACAGGCTAGTGTGATTAGGGTTCAACTAAAGTCATGAGTTAAATAGGGTTTTGTTATCTAGCTGGAGGACATCCCCACCCTTGATGAGACCGTTTTTTATGGTTCGACTCTATTGACTTAGGCATATTTTGGGAATAGAATGGTTTGTGCAGAGAAAAATACCTGACTAGAACAGCACAATGAACTATCTTGTTAAATTTAATGGGAATTGGTGAAACCTTTTAGGATCAAATGGTAACCTATCTTTTTAAAACTTTTGCCTTTCAGGAAAATGGCAGACGGTTTTTCGGTAAGTGTTTTATGTCTGTTTTCTTACCCTAATATACATTTCACGGAGGTGGAGGCTTTTGTTTTTACCATCAGACTTTTCTGCTTTAACTCTGGCCTCGCCTGTCTTAGGAGGGCTTGTAACCTGGAATCCTGTTCTCCCAACAACAGATTTGGGACGAAAGCCAGGCAGAGAGATACTTGTGACTCACAAACAGTTTCGGGAAAAGCTTAGGACAGAAGAGGGTGGATTCTACCAGCTGGAACTGAGAAATACTCAAGACAAAAAGAAGTGCGGTGTAGTCGAGCAACCTGATGTCTCAGGTTGATTAGAAAGTATATGCTTTTACCCATTGCTGTTGAGTTGATTCCAATTCATAGCAACCCTATAGGACAGAGTAGAACTGCCCCATAGGGTTTCCAAGGAGCGGCTGGTGGATTCAAACTGCTGACCCTTTGGTTAGCAGCCAAGTTCTTAACCACTATGACACCAGGGCTTTTAGATAGAGGATTACTAGCTCTGGACTTCAGCAAATCACAAGAATGCAGCCCTCCGTGATCTGAGATGATGGCAGCCAAGAATAAAGTTAGAGGGTATATATAACCCCACAGTTTACTTTTAGTTTTAGGAACTCTAACTATGAAAACTATTAATAGGTGACATATTTATGGATCCAAATTTCATATGTTCACTATATCCCAATACTTATTAGATCACATATTCCTGTTTTCATAAAAATCCTGTTTTTGTGAATGTTTTCCATCTTGTAATTATTTTTCTTTCTAGCTTAATGATGCCTTGACTGGGTCTAGAAACCCCAACCCTCAAGGATGGCCTGGCGCATGGGGAAACCAGCCTGCTGGGCCAGGGGGCTACCCAGTGGCCTCCTATCCTGGGGCCTACCCCGGGCAGGCACCTCCTGGGGCTTATCCTGGGGCGCCACCTTCTGGCACCTACCCTGGCCCAGCACCTCCAGGGGCTGCCTACCCTGGCCCAGCACCTCCAGGGGCTGCCTACCCTGGCCCAGCACCTCCAGGGGCTGCCTACCCTGGCCCAACTGCACCTGGAGCCTACCAGAGCGGAGCTGGTGCCTATCCTGCTGCTAGTCCCTACGGCGGCTTGGCTGAACCACTGGTGAGATGGAGTTAGTTATTTTACATACTTGACTGTGATCAGGACAAAGCTAATGAAGAATGTAGCTATTGTCTGGGACAATGGAGCCATCACTTTTCAAGGACTAGTCATAGTGTATGTTGGTTCAGTAGAAATATGATTGTTCATATTGAGTTTACTATGTGTACTGTTAGTGTAAAGAAGCTAATGAATCTTTTGAAGGAATCTGTAAGGTTGCTTTAAGGTAAATGAAGTTAAGATCATAGCAGTGGGGGAAAGTTTTGGTTATTATTATTAATTAACACTGAGTACTCAACACATGCCAGAGTGTGCTTCTATATGGATTATCTCATTTAACCCTACAACCACCCTCAAAGTACTCTTATTATCTCCATTTTACACACGAGAAGTTACATAACATGCTTAGGGTCATAGAGGGGAAATGTGACGGTAATCTGGTTTTGAAAACTTTTTTCTTGTGATTGAATTGAATTTTCATTCTAAGTGAATTCTAACTGTAAAACTTAACTCTATGGGGGATCCAGACACATCTGAAACACAGATCCTGCCCTTCCAGGCTTATAGTCTAGTTGGGACATAAGATACAAATATGAGGAAAGAGTTAAATATGGTATTAGACCATTTAGGACTATGTAGAAGACAGCACAAGGTAGTATCTGATCCCTTGTTTGGTCATCTTAGAGGAGGTATGGGGAAAGTAGGTGGTATTGAGCTGGGCCTACACTAGAGACAAGTAAGTCGGTTGCAGACAGAGGGGGACCTGAAGGCTGTGGAGAGGTGGAGGCAGATGTGAGAGAGATTGTATAGGAAGATATTCCCACCCCAGGATCTAGTGATTAGGCCTTAGGGTGGACAACTTTCAAGTCTGGACAACTAGAGCATCAGAAAGCATCAGCCTAAACTGAGAACTCAGGAGGGGGAAACTGATGGTGAGGCAGGGCAGGGGAGACAATTCCAGTTCACATCTGTTGGATTCAAGGCACTAGCAGCAAATCCAGATAAAAGGAGGTACAAGACTGTTAAGGTGAAAGATTGGGGCTAGAAATTAAAAAAACTGGAAGATAATTGAACCCATGGGAACAAAAGAACTTCACAGGGAAAAAAACAAATGAAGAGGCCAAAGATAGAACTTTAGGAATATAAACAGTACCTTGATCATAGCCAAAAAAAAAAAAAAAACCATTGCCGTCGAGTCCATTCCAACTCATAGCGTAGAGTAGAACTGCCCCATAGGGTTTCCAAGGAGTGGCTGGTGGATTCAAACTGCTGACCTTTTGGTTAGCAGTCGACCTCTTTAACTACTATGCCACCAGGGCTCCACCTTGAACATAGATGTTTAAAAATATCTGTGGAGTAAACTAGGAAGGGTATTAACTAGAAAGTGTTTATTCCACAGATATTCACTGGGCACTTGCTGTGTACAAAGCACTGTCCTAGTGCCGTGTGGATACTGAATGTGATGCAATGCCTGCCCTCAGGGAGAATAACCCCATAGAGGCAACTGCATGTTTAGAAATAACCACGCTGAAATATATGACAAAGGTCTTAAGAGTGGCACAAAAATGTACTTTGATTGCAAGGTCTAGTTCAAGCCTTTTCAAAAAATAGTCTAAGTGAATGAGTTAGATTGGTATGGTCCCTGGTTATATGAGCCACAGTGCTCAGAAAGGGAATATTCTCTGCTTTTGCCATCAATTAACTGATGGTTTTATTCTCAGTTATTATTTCTGCACACGGAGTCTTACTTCTTCAGGTCCTAGACAGGGTGGCCTGAGATTCTTGACAATGGGCTTAAATTAGGGTTGCACTTTAATAGTGATTGGACTTTAGCAACATCTTTTCCTTTTTTCCCCAAGAAAACATGACTGTTTCTTTATTGACACATTTGTTTTTGCATTCCAGACTCTGCCTTATGACCTGCATTTGCCAGGAGGAATCATGCCTCGCATGATGATAACAATTCTGGGTACAGTAAAGCCCAATGCAAACAGGTAAAGAGAAAAATTAGCAAGCCTAATGCATTCGTTAATTGATTTTTGAATAAGGATAATAATATATTTTGAATTTTAATAGGATTTTTTAGAATTACATATTTAGAATCTTGGCTATACCATAGTATAGGATTAGCCCGTAAATCAATACTTGTTCCCACTTGGGAGTTCTACTTTGTGAGGGCAAAGAGGAAGAACAGAAAAAGATTCTGTTGATTCTTCCTGGTGGTCAAAGCCTTAGAATAAAGGAAAGTAGAGCCTTTGTAATGTAATGCTTGTCCATACCTCTGCCTCTGAGCCATGTCTAAAAGAACAAGCCTACATTCTATATCTAGATGTCTACCAAAATTAGGGTCAAAACCAAAAAGATCCTATTGGACCTAATTCTGAGTTGATCTTGGAGCTTGACTATTCTACCAGTCTGTACTCATATTGATAAGAATCTCCCTGCATTTGGGCAGGTCCCAAATCTCTCAAGCTCTGTTGCCATTGCCATTTCCTTCTTCACACTGGGCATGACAGTAGAGTCACAGATCCCTACGGTGTCAGCCTGGTCTCAGTGGCAGTGTCATCTCACTTTGGATAGTAATATGCTTATTGCAAAAGAACTTGGTATTTTAGGATTGTTGCTTTCCTTTTAAAAGCTTTTGAGGCAGCTTAGGGTGCTGCATTTTCACTTCTGTGAGCTCTGGCCTCACGATCTTTGAAGGGTTTTCATGAGTAGAGGTAGTAAAGAGAGAATTACAGCTGAATGAATGAAAATACAGCTATTGGATATTTAATCAAATACAAATCCTATTGCCATTTGACTATCTTGGTCCCTTCCGTGTGAATTTAATCATTGAGAGATACATATGTGGTTGAATATGACTGAGTCAGTCAGAATACCTAGAAAATCACTGTTAGACTAACAATGTTAGTAGATTTAGAGTTCAGACATTGCTTTAAAACAAGAATACCAGCTAATTCTGTTGCTAGTGCCCTCAGGGACAGGGTTAGTCCTTTAGCAATCAAAGGGGAACTTATGTTTGTATTAACATTCAAGGAGAAGGAACAGTGTCAAAAAGTTAAACTAGCACTTTCATTAATTCCACTTAACATCATGGAATGTTTAAAACGTCTATTGTCATGACTTTACAACTTAGTATGAAGATACTGAACATTAACCACATTATCCATTCTTGCTATTTTATGAGAACTAGGTTTCTGGTTAACTGTAAAGAAGGCAGGTATTTGTTAACTCTTAAGTATACAATTGACTTTCCTTTAAAAAAAACAAAAACCAAACCCATTGCCAACAAGTCGATTCCGACTTATAGCAATCCTATAGGACAGAGTAGAACTGTCCCATAGGGAATCTAAGGAGCAGCTGGTGGCTTTGAATTGCTGACCTCTTGGTTAGCAGCCGAGCTCTTAACTACTGTACCACCAGGTGCTACAAGCAACCTGGCGCGCAGAAAAGAGGGTAAGCATTAGGATCTATACCGTAAGGCATCAAGTGTCCTCAAAGTGGCTCTAAACTTCTACTAAGAAACTTCAAAGGGTTTTCATGAATAGAGTTAGTAAAGAGAGTATTATAGCTGAATGAGAAGGATGTGACAAAGAGACAAGAAAAATCATCACATATTGCCTAGCTTATCTTTAGATATGATGGTAATTATATAGAATACAAGGCCTGGTATACTTTCCAATTTGAATCTGTTCGCTGGTTTATTTGCTTTCTGTTCAGAAAATTCTCCTATATTTTATAAAATGATTTGCTCTTTAGAAAATTAGGTTCTTCACTTGATGCAAATGTTGTACAACTTTAATCATTTTAATAATTGTGGTTTTTGGTTTAAAAACAGAATTGCTTTAGATTTCATGAGAGGGAATGATATTGCCTTCCACTTTAACCCACGCTTCAATGAGAACAACAGGAGAGTCATTGTTTGCAATACAAAGCAGGATAATGTCTGGGGAAGAGAAGAAAGACAGAATGCTTTCCCATTTGAAAGTGGTAAACCATTCAGAGTAAGTTATTGCTACTATTATATATTGATAATGTATATTTCTCATGGGGAATTACTCTCAAATCACAATGCACTTGAAATGAATATTTATCACCTGTTCTGGGGCACCTAACTAGTATATCTCCTCCCCATCCCAGGGGACCAGGCTCGGCAGGCTGGGAACATAGCCAGAAGTGGCGTACTTCCCCAGCTCCTTTCAAGCCCTCACCATCATTACCATTACCAGCCCCTCTGCTTTAAGTCTTTTTGGAAATGAAAAAAAGGAAAAAGGCAGAAATTCTTTATGGTATAGTTGGACTAAGACTTAGTCGATCAAAACTAATTTTTTTTAAATTCTAAAATTAATACTTGTTTTATTATGAGAAGAATTTATAATTTTTATCAAGTAAAAAGTCTTCCATCCTTTTCCCCTTCCTCTCCTAAAAAAGGTTACAATTTGATATCTTTTCAGTAATTTCTGACATTCAACATACTTTTCATTTTTAAGCACAAATAAGATTTCCTGCTTCAACAAATATTTATTGGGTCAACAGCATTGGGCTAGGGTTGAGTAGAGTGGTCAGTAAAACAACCGGACTATAATAGAAGCTCCACAAGGGCAGGGCTGATAGGGACCATGTGCTTCATTTGGTGGCCATCTTTCCATTTCATTGTTTAGATTTGTGATAATTTCAGTTCCCTATTGATGAAGATTATTTCCAGGTTTATTTTACTAAACTACTGTAATAACTATCTTTATACATGTATCTTTGCTTCCTAGAAGAGTAATTTCATTCAAAGAGTACACACGTTTAAAATTTAGATAAGATGTTGCCAAATTACTGCTTCCAAACGATGTGAGGACTATCTGTTAGAAGAGCATGTTTCCCCTACCCTTGCCAGAACTCATCAAAATAAAGAAGAAAAGCATAAAGTCTCAGTAAACACAGAATCTACAAAAACGGAAAAAAAAAAAAAAAAAAACCACAAACAAAAGGAATTCAGCACAGAGAGTTAGAGAAACAAAGAAAATGTCAGCACCACAAGAAAAGTGCTACAAAATGACAGCAATCAACTCGCACCTATCAATAATCACATTGAACATAAATGGCCTAAATGCACTTATAAAGAGACAGAAAGTGACAGAATGGATAAAAAACAAGACCTATCTACAAGAGACACTCCTTAGAAACAAAGACATAAATATATTAAAAATCAAAGGATGGAAAAAAATGTATCAAGCAAACAGCAACCAAAAAAGAGCAGGAGTGGCAATACTAATCTCAGATAAAATAGACTTTAAAACAAAATCCACCATAAAAGACAA